CTCCGTAGCCTGGGGGTATGTGGGTAACCAAGGAGCACAAAAGAAATGGATACCCGATAAGAAAAGCAGCGGTGGTGGGAGAGGGTTGAGGGGGTGGGAAGGGTTTGGGGGGGATTCTAACTTTCCTCCCTGGCTCTCTCCTGGGAACCTGGGGGCTAAGACGCTGGAGCTCCTCCACGCAGGTATCATATTCAGCAGGTCCTTCAGTACAGCTGGGCTCCGGTCCAAACTCCCTGACTGTCTGCCTCAGTGGAGAGAGGTGCAGGCGCCATAAGGTCACAGTAGCACAAATGCCAACAAGTGAAACTAAATATTCAAGTCAAGCTTGATACTGTTGTTGTTATTTCACAGAAGAACTGGCAATAAGCCTTTCTGCCTGCTTTAATGCAGGTTGCATGCAATTATTTGCATGATTAAACATGATCAAGAGCAGCAAGGATATGCAAACATTAATGCACGTCTGCCCAGTTTTTTTTTCTTTTTATCCGGTGAAATATGAAAAGTGAGAGAGGGGAGACTGAAACCCCTGAGACTTTCAGACATAAATCAACCTCCCACATCTCCACTCTGACGCAAACAGGCTTTATCCCCCCCTTACAAAAGCACGGCAACCGAGGGCCCACGGCTGGATCCACCGTAATAGCTTCGACTCCGGCAGAAAGTGCACTGCTTGCTTCAGATTTCAATTCACTGCACCCGAGTGGCCGATCGACTGCAGAGGGTGAATAAACTGGAATAGAAATGTTGGATACCGCACGTTAGTCTGGACTATGATGGCTTTGATATGTATATGTGTGTGTGTGTGTGTGTGTGTGTGTGTGTGTGTGTGTGTGTGTGTGTGTGTGTGTGTGTGTGTGTGTGTGTGTGTGTGTCAGCTCATATGGCTTCAGAACTGACCTGAACTGAAAACTAGGATTTCAACATAAAAATTCACTTCAATAAAAAAACAACACTTTTGTTAATTATATTCCAGTTGGATTGAGAGTAAATGAGAAAGAAAACTAAAATTAGTTGCTGATTTGTATCCAAAATAGTTCTCTCTCCAATATAAGTGGATATTTTTTTTCTTTTATAAAACGTGTTAATCTAAGCGAGGAGTGATTATTGGAACTTCAGCTGAAAAACAATAACGATGATTAATCAAATACTTTCTTCAACACCAGTACAACCATGATGTGGATTTCCTGTTCCGCCACTGCCCAGAGGTGCTCTGCTGGATTGGGATCTGTTGACTGCGGAAGCCATTTGACTACAGTGAACTCATTGTCATGTTCAAGAAACCATCATTGTGGTCATGAAGAGATGCACATAGTCAGGTAGGCTTTGGTAGTGATGTGTGGCGTCATCAGAAATGACCTTCTGCGTGTTTTGGTAGTGGCCAGTGGTTATTTGAGTTACTGTTCCCTTCCTATCAGCTTGAAGCAGTCTGACCATTCTCCTCTGATGTCTGGCATCAACAAGACATTTTTACCTGCCACTTACTGGATATTTCCTCCTTTTCTAACAATCCTCTGTAAACCCTAGTGATGGTTGTGTGGGAAAATCAAAGCAAATCACCAGTTGAAATACTCAGACCAGCCCATCTGGCACTAATAAGAATGGCACATTCAAAGTTGATTAAATCACCTTTTTCACCCCATTTTGATGCTCACTTTGAACTTCGGCAGATCGTCTAGAGCATGTGCCTAAATCCACTACGTTGCTGCCATGTGATTGCATGATTAGATATTGGCTTTAAAGGAACGTCTTTTAATAGTGGCTGATGAGTGTAGCTTAGCTGGGCTCTGTCTTATCTTAAACTCACCCAGCAGCACTAAAATCGAGCATTTGTGACTGGAATATTTCCTGGTGAGCATTTCCTTAGATGCACTTGGTCTAGTAAGTGAAAATGCATATTTCCCAACATGCCACAGTTTCCTTTCTACCGAATCAGTCTCCTCTATACTGCGTCATGACGATGCAGACATGCAACAGACATTATACCCAGGATAGCATAATTAAGCTTTTCTAAACTCAACTGTGTGGTCTAAAGGGTCAAAAGAGGTTTCACACCCTTCTGACAACTGCAAGGGGCCTGCAAATCCTCCAAACCGGCCACATCCACGGCAGTTTGTTGCCCTTGTCCATCAGATATGTGAAGCTGTGAGCATGCTGTGAGAGTCTGACAATGTCTGAAAGTGGAATTAATGAGACAGCATACAAACTCACTAAACAATAATGCCACTTCCCACTAGCAGGTCAGCCGGCTGAGCTTATGCAGCGCAATGCAAAATGTGCACTCACAGCAGAAAAAGCAGAGAAAACTACAGTGAGATGAGGCCCCTCGTGGCCATGAGTGGATTCAATCAGTCTGAATTAGAGGATGTGAAGGGTTCCAAGGTTTTGTCTTGTTTCAAGAGGAGAGAGGGGGAAAAAATTGAAAATTGACCTGGCAGCCTTCATTTAGCGACAATGTGCTAAAGTATTTTAAAGTATGATGGGTATTCATCACAGTGATCTGCACAAGCGGGGGCAATACAGTGGCACAAAGGTTTTCAATTGAAAAGCATAATACTCATTAGTCTCAACACTCAACATCAGCACCAATCAGAAGTTGCATTAGCTGTGAGAGGGTGCCTGGTCAAAAATCCCCTCCCCGCCTTACACGGATAACAACACACAAGGGAAAATGAATTAATCAGGCAAGTTGCGATCTATGATATGGCATTAGAGAGGAAAAACTGCAGATTTTACACAAGTATATAGAAAGGCTGTTGTTAACTTTCCTTACTAAGTTCCACTGATGACATATTTATAAGGTGGAAACTGCTTTACAAGAACAAGAATGCATCACTACTGAGCATAAGATTATGATGAAGGGGGGTATGATAACACAAAATGATGAATACACCCCTCTATTTAGTTTCAAAGCTGAAAATAAATAAGTGCAATTAAATAATGCAACCAAGAAGAACAGAGCATTAATCAGAAGACTGGGAATTGCTTGAGGATGTGAAATACAATTATTACGCCTTTGAAAACACACACAGTGAGGAAACAGTGTGGGGGTCTGACTCTGTCAATCCTTAGAGGAGACCTTCGTGCTTTCCCAGAGTTATATGCCAGAGGATCATATCACAGATTTCACAGTTCACACTGCTATAAAAGCTCCGTGTCAGGCCGTTTTCTCTACTCGGAGCGATCGTGGCTCAAGAGTTGGGGGTTTGCCTTGTAATCGGAAGGTTGCCAGTTTGAGCCTTGGCTTGGACAGTCTTGGTCATTGTGTCCTTGGGCAAGACACTTCACCCGTTGCTGGTGGTGGTCAGAGGGCCCGGTGGCGCCAGTGTCCGGCAGCCTCGCCTCTGTCAGTGCGCCCC